CCCCCCCCCCCCCCCCCGACCTCAGTGCCCCCGAGCGGCCAGGCCTTCACTGGGGAACCGTCTACAGAGAGCAGAGAGCTGGGTTACCCTCTCCCTTTCGGGTCCATGTGGCCCTCAATGAAGAGCACGCTGGCTTTCTTCTCCCTTCGCCGGACGCTCTTGACCTGTTGGCAAATCCGAGAAAACAAAGCATCAAGAACCCAGAAGAAGGCACGGGTCTGAAATACGCTCTTGACACGTTTCCGTCGTGCAGACGGACATGAGCGGCGCGTGGCCAGGAACGTGGCCGGCCGGGAGAACGGACAAAGTCCGCGTGGGACACACTCAAACACCGCCCGGCTGCTTCACGCACTGCCGTCAGCGCTCACAGTGGAGCAGGACCACGTGGGCTTTGCTTTCTTTTCTTTTGTGACACAGAGCGCGAAGCCCACTGCTTCTGACCACCTGCGTGTGTGACACATGGACCCTCCCCTGCCTCAGCAGGGCAAGCTCATCCTCATTTTCAGGACGAGAAACGTGAACAGAGAGAGTGGCGACCAGCCGAGGACACAGGGAAGCAGGGTGCCTGACTCCGGCCAGCCTCCCCGCCCCCCTGGCACCCCTCCGGGGCCCCGGCTCAGCCATAAACCAAGGGTGCACCCCAGGAACCTGTGAGCTTGGAGATCCGCTCCCCAGCGGGGCCCCCGGGGCACTGGGGAAGAGGAGGAGGTCCGGGAAAAGGTGCCAATCGCAAGGGGCACGCGAGTGCTGAAAGTAAGCCGAGGGGCCCCGATCGACGACTCCCCACAACTGTGACAAGACGCTGACCCGAGGACCACCACCCCCCCTTCTGCCTGAGCCTGTGCTCAAGCCACACGTTCTGCCCATATGCGAACCACACTTGCTGCTACGGCCAGTCAGCCCCATCCACGGAGGCCAGCCTCGCAGCAACAGGAGCGTCTCCCGACTCCGGCAAACGTCTTCCTTATTACACGTCACCGTCTCTGACCGCGAGTTAAAGAACTACAGCTGGCATTGCAGGGTCCTGTCCACACCGCAGGGGCACAGAGGAGGATACGGGATGGAGGGGCTGACAGCCAGGATGCTGCCTTTGCCCAAAAATAAACGGACAGCCTGCAGCGTCCCGGCCCGGAGAAAGCCAGGAGTTCGCTGCGCTGGGGCTCAGTCACCGCCCGTGCACAACCGGCCCCTGCCCCAAAACCTCACCCAGCTCGACGCTCCCGCAGGGGAAAGGTTCCAAGCGCACAACGTCAGACACGAGCAAATCGCAGACCTCCCTTCAGGCAGGTTTTCCTGAGCCTGCCCGGCAGAGATTGGGCCCAGGACCCTCACACTCAACTGCGCCCAAATGATCAAACACCCCTTACTCAGGCAAGTCTCCAGAAACCTTGCTCGTAATTATAAGCCCATCGGTTTTCCCCGGGGAAAATATCTGCCGGCGTCCAAATGACAACAGCAGAGCGCGAGTGAGCCGAGGGGTGGGGGTTGCTGCGGGGCCCCCGGAGCCGGCCCCATGCTCACCACTGCTGGCCAGAAGGGGTACTTCTGGTGTTTCAGCCAGACCAGCATTCCTACTTCAAAGGAGCGTGGTTCTAGAATTAAAAAGAAACAAAGACAAAAAGAACATTAAGTCAGCTCCCTATCACGCACCGAATTCAACAACTTAAGAGAAAACAACTGTTGGGACTTGGCCTGAATCTGACGCGCCCTAACTCCGGTCAGAGACCCCAGCGGCTGGGACGGCATCCAAGGGCCAGTTGTGAGCACGCCCTGTGGTTAAGAGCTGGTTTCTTCACGGGACGATACGCCTGGTCACGCAGGTGGTGACACGGGAAGGTGCCAGGCAGGGAGCACTCAGTACTACCTTTGCCACTTGCCTGTAAATCTCAAATTCTTCCAAAGTAGAACATTTTTTAAAAAGCGTGGCACAGAAACCCCGACGCGAGAACCAGATTCCTAGGAAGCTCATCAGTCTGAAAAACGAGACTCTTAAAAAGCAAAAAATAAAAAATAAAAAAAACCCAAAAGGAATCGCTGAAATCATCACTTGCTAACTCCGTGTTTGTGAACAAAGTTTGACAGGATTTCCGGCCCCAAACCACCACACTGCAGAACAGAATCACAGTTGGAACTGAGACAATCAGGTCACAAAACCCCGCAGACAGGAGGCCGCCCTTCCCTGCCTGCGGAGCCGCCCCGGCGACCAGCGGGCGCAGCGACAGGAGCACGGCCGGCCGGCGAGCGGACGCCTGGCATCCATCTGGCGAAAAGCACCCAGTTTCTGAGAGAACCGTCAGGGCCCCGGGAGGACAAACAGGTCTGGGGAAACACCCAGACGGACGTCAGGCTGCCGGGGTGGGGTGGGGGGGGGACGGGGAGAAGACCAAACCAGATGGAAGCACAAAACAGGGCCGAGAACAAGCGCGGCGGCTTCTCGGGGCCGTGGGGACCCAGCAGCCGAGAGGAAAACGCCCTTGAGGAAGAAGGCCCAGAGTCCCTTCTCCGGCCTGGTGAGCTCTGCCCTGCTCCCTGCTCCCGGGAGCCAAGCCTACAACAGAGCTCCCTCCCAGAGGTTTGTGCCCTGCAGGCTGCAGCCCCCCATGGTGGAACTATCTAGATAACTGAAGGTGGGGGAGGGCTCAGTAAGTAACAAATCGTTGCCACGAAGAGTCATCGGAAGACCATGCGGAAACGTAAAGCGTGTCCGGTCAACAAGTTACAAAAAGGAAAACCGCACGGAACGGGTCATGTCTGGCGAAAAGAGCCGAGTCATAAGAGCGCGACCGGCACGGCGGCCTCCCGGGGTACGGTGGGGGCGACCCTTGAAGGAGGAGTTCCCCCACACTGTACTCTCTCTCCCACGTCTTGTGAATCTATAGATTTCGTGACGAAAAGGCTAAAAAATATCAGACTACGTTCAAACGGATAGCTCAGGAGTAAGTCTCAACAGAAAATTCGTTCTGAACGATTTACTCCAGGAAACAGACTAACGTGCTGTCGGTCGCTGGTTCAGGTCCGCGCCTCCCACCCTTCCACAGGGGGCCAGGGCACCTCCCCGCACGCGTGTTTGCCGGGGGCCCGCAGCACGTGTGGGAGGGGCCCCGGGCCGGAGACCCTGCGTCTCCGGACACGCGTGCAAACACCACCCCCAAAGGTCCGCGGGCGGCACCGGGCCGCCCCCCCCCCCCCCCCCCC